ACCCCCACGGCGGGCGCTAGGGAAAAACGGAACCACCTAGACATGGCCAGGAGGCCACTCACGAGAAGGGCATGGCCTGCACCTGCAAAGTCTTACTCATGCGCGGTCCCCATCCCTCCCTTTGCCCACTGTGAGCAGCACAGGGCCCTGGCATGACTGGAACATTGGCCGGCAGCCTGGAAAGGGGCCACACTTCATACCTCTCACCAGTCCCCCTGCTGACAATGACTGTGTGGAAACGGTCCCCTTCATGGCCTAGCGCTAGAAGGGCATGGCCTGCACCTGCAAAGTCTTACTCATGCGCGGTCCCCATCCCTCCCTTTGCCCACTGTGAGCAGCACAGGGCCCTGGCATGACTGGAACATTGGCCGGCAGCCTGGAAAGGGGCCACACTTCATACCTCTCACCAGTCCCCCTGCTGACAATGACTGTGTGGAAACGGTCCCCTTCATGGCCTAGCGCTTTGGGGGGGTCCACTTCAGGGCAGCCACATAGACCGCCCTTCTCCCACTTCCTGGGGGTGGCATCTCAGCCCTGGCAGCTCAGGGGAGGAGTGGGGCTGAGGGATAAGACTGGGCACTAAGCCACAGGCCAGCCCTAAAAGGAAGCGCTGTGGGGGAAGGACAGACGGTGTCATACATGAAATTAGTGAGTCACCTCTTTTTAATAGCTGAGTGGAGTGTAAGAGCGGCTGGGTAAGTGCCAACATGCACTGGTGTAAATAGGACGCACGGAAAGATTTGCATAGCTCACGTCCAAACACGTTTTACATGAGACGTGACGTACGCTGTAGGCGTTGTCTATTACACTTGGACCAGACAGAATCACGTCTAAAATGCAATACCCGCCCCCGTAGGATGAGATATGTGTTTCATTTACACAGCTAGCCAGTCACGTGTTCTATATATGGTACACACGAGGGCGTGAGGAGGGGCTGCTACATACGAAGGAGGCTGTTTCCTGTTACTTCCTATGTAAGTCGAAGTAGGATTTCTTTGAAATGCAGCATATGGAACATCTGCTACATGTACAGCACTGGCCGATAAGCGACAGGGATCTGAAACCCGTGGGCCAATCGAGCCGAGATTCTCAGCTGGAGTAAGCTGGCATCATCCCCCCAGCCTCAGTGGAACTTGATCAACATACACCATCTGAGGCTCTGGCTCTGTGCTCGGCTCCTCCTTCCTCCTCGTAGGAGTAGGGCCAGGAGCTGGAGCTGACAGTTCACTGCGGAGAGGCTGCGAGGTAGTGGAGGTCACTATTCACCCTCCAGAACAGCAGCACTTTCTGCTTGACCCTCATTGAGGTCTGGGTGGGAAGGCGCCACCTAGGTCAGGGGCATCTGGAGTGTGTTGAGTGATGAGAAAATTAAATGACTTCTGGGTTAGGAGGCAGGGGAAAATTTATGCCACCAATGCGCCTAGTTGGGAATGCCAAGCAAAGTGCAGACTCGTGGGGGGATGGGAGGGAAACCTTATAACGGTCTATTTTCTAGGACATCGCCTCGCCGGCCGCCTGGAGAAAACCCAAACTTCTCGGGCAAGTGCTTGGTCCAGAGGCATCTTGCAAGCGAGGGCGTTCTTAGAACCAGCACGGCATCCACATGAAGGATCCCAGGGCAGCCCCGGTGGCAGCGCCGGCCAGCAAGCCCAAAGCCATCTGGTCTCCCGACACGCGGTAGGGGTCCTCCCGGACAATCACGTGAGTCACGCCGGGCGCTGGGAGGCAAAGACAAAAAGAGACACAGGGTGAACATGGAGGAAGACGCCCCGGGATGCCATTCACTCCCGCAGGCCTTGTGGGAGAGCAGTGAAACTGAAGCCAGGCAAGGCCTACACCAGGGGTGGGCAATAATTTTCATGTGGGGGGGTAAACTCCCTTAATTTTGGTACGTGGTCACTGGCCGGCTCCGTCCCACCCTTCGCAAGGCAACAGAGAGAAAGAGAGAGTGTGTGTGAGTGAAAGAAAGACACTCTGGCTACGTCTAAACCGGCATGATTTTGCACAAGAACTCTTTTGCGGAAGAGTTCTTGTGCAAAAACTCTTCCAGAAGAGAGCGTCTACACTGGAATGTGCCTTTGAGCAAGAAATGTGCTTTTGTGCAAGAGCATCCATGCCAGTGTAGAAGCTCTCTTGCGCAAGAAAGCTCTGATGGCCATTTTAACCATAGGGCTTTCTTGCGCAAGAAATTCATGCTGCCTGTCTACACTGGCCTCTTGTGCAAGAATAGTTGCACAAGAGGGCTTATTCCTGAGAGGGAGCATCATAGTTCTTGCACAAGAAGCCCTGATTTCTTACATTAGAACATCAGTGTTCTTGCGCAAGAGAGCATCATAGTTCTTGCGCAAGAAGCCCATATTTCTTACATTAGAACGTCAGTGTTCTTGCGCAAGAACTCACGGCCAGTGTAGACAGGCAGCAAGTTTTTGTGCAAAAGCAAGTGATTTTGCGCAAGATCGCACCAATGTAAACACAGCCTCTGTGTGTGAGAAACAGACTTTGTGACACAGTGTGTGTGGTACAGAGACAGGTGCGCGCGCGTGTGTGTGTGTGACAGTAGCACAGAGTGTGTGCGCTGGCTGCTTGGGTAAGTTTCTGAGAGAAGCCACACTCTGTCTCTTTAAGACAGGGAAAGCTGCCCTGCTCTGATGTCTCCCCCCACTCTGCAGAGTTGGAGTATGGGGGGGAAGTGTGTGTGTGTGTGTGTGTGTGTATGAGACAGACAGACAGCATGAGCACTGACATCTCAGGAACAGGGCACTGCCTCTGAGTCACTTACCATCCGTGTTTCAGACTGGAGCAGGTCCGCTGTGTCACCTTCTCCCCAACCCTTGCTCTGCAGAGATGGGGCAGGGGGACACCCTGACTTCAGCACGCCCCTTAACTCCCCAGCCCTCCCCTCCCCTCCGCACAGCTCGCGGGAGAATCCTGGGAGCAGCTCGGCTGCAGGACGGAGCAAGGTGGGGGGAGGGGCAGCCAAACACACGCCGGCCGTAAGTATGCTAATCAGCTAGGCTGGCTGGAGAGAAATGCTTGGTGGGCCCGATCCAGTCCTCCCTGGCCTACCCAGTGACTCCAGCGGGATTCTCTTTCTGTCCCCATAAACAAATGCTGCTCAAGGTTGCATTGAACACCAATGCACTGTGTGACCGGGGCTGGACATCAGGAGGGCAGCGTTCTGCTTTGGAGCATTTGGTGGGAGCCTGGGCAGGGTTTATGGTGCATTGTTTGCTTAGCTAGATAAATGGTCGGGGTGCATCTTTGTTTGAGCTGACAGAGAATCTCCTGCAGCACTCATCAATATAGGGCTTATGACACACAACACTGCATTTGTTTCCACCCAGCAGAGGACGGTAGCACAGACACAAGCCATGCTGATTGTGAACCTTTAGCAAAACTAAGGCAATGGCTCTTTTCTACTTCTGAATAACCCAATGAAGTGAACCAACTGCTCCACATATCAGGAAAATGGTGCTGGGAAATCACAGAAGCTACTCGCTTTCTTTTCTTAGAGCCAGTCAATGCTGAAAACTTTTGCTGCTTTAACTAAACTGGCACAGTTCAAGTAGCATCACAGTGTGTAGGCTCTGTCTGTATTTCAGAGCTTTGCTCATGAAACTTTGCTGGTACAGTTCTATTGACAAAACCCCCCAGTATAGAAGCAAAATGGCGCCTTTACTGGTTCAGTGTGAAAAATCCGCTCTCCTGCCGTAATGACTTTCATGGTGGTAAAACTACAACTCTCCTGGGGCTTTTGCGGGCAGGGCTACAAGGGTGAAAAGGAAGATCAGACGTTTGCTGGCACAGAACCCATTCCCCACCTGGGTGTTATCAGGCCCCTTGTATGGGGTGGTGCTGTCTGAGATAACTGAATCAATTTCAAGGTCTAATAGAACCCTTTGGCTCTTTCCAGGTGCATCTACACAGCAGGGCTTAACTCGAAATAAGCTGTCATGATCATGAGGGTTAGCCAGAAGCCTGGGGACTAAGGGGCAGGGGCGGCCTGTGACTATAGGCCAACTCAGCCGTCGCCTAGGGCGCCGCCTTCAATGGGGCACCCGATGATGATATCAATCCATTGATGGTCGTGCAGGCAGGGGGGCCGGGCCGCATTCCGCCTGGGGTGCCAGCTGCCGCAGCCTGCCTCGGGCCACTCCTGCTAAGGGGTTAACTATACCTAAGCCAGGTAGAGTTGGCCAAGAGGAATGTAGGTAGGAATTGCAAACTGGGACAAAGGAATTTTGGGTTTTTTCCCTCCTTTGTCTCTGGGGCAGTGTCTCTCCAGCTGTTGAGGGAGACAGACAGAATGTCTCCCTCCAAGAAAAGACTCTTCACTGTATGTAAGTAGGGTAAAGTTTAGATAAATCCATTAGGTTTTATTGTTTTATGGTCTGGGAAATGGGATCTGATGTCTGTGCATTTAGAAATGGGTTTTCCTCTCCTCTGTAACTAAGCTCAGGTCCATGGTGGGATTTCCTCCCCCCTCCTCTCTATGAGGATATGACTTTGTGACTTTTCTATCTAGTCATTATGCTTGCAACAGGAATACTGTGCTGATAATAAAAGTTCTTTCTCTTTTCTTTTTATTAACCTGGTATTGGTTAATTTTTGTGTCCTGGTTTGTACTTTAGGGGTGAGATGTCCCAAGTGATCTCCCCCCTGATTTTCTTATCCTTACTTGGGTGGTGGCAACAGATTTTATCCCCAAAATCTAGGTTGTTAAGATTTTGGGGGAAGTTTTATATCAAAGCTTGGAAAGATAAGGTTTTGGGGTACTTTTGCAGTCCCCCACTTCTGCATTTATCGTGCAAGAGTGGGGAAGGAGCCTTGACATAAGCTATGCAAATTAAGCTATGTCAATTGCGTAGTTTATTTCAAAATAGCTTATTTCAAAATTGGGAGCATCTGCAAAATACTTATTTAGAAATAGAGCACTTTTCCTCCGACTTCCCTTATGCCTCGTACAATGAGAGTTACAGGAGTTGGAGTAAGAAGTCCTCCAGCTTGACAGTATTTCAACAATAGTTCGAAATAACTGCCTGCTGTGTAGATGAAGTCTAAGTTATTTCGAAATAATGCTAGTTATTTTGAAATAATGTTTCTGTATAGACGTACTCTTAGTCTGACCTCCTGCCCCAGCCAGTGAATCTGGAGCTAAACAACTTGCGGTGCAGTAGAGACTGTGTCATAGAAAGACACTCATATAAAGATTAAATGATAATGAATTCAACTGCATCCTTTAGAAGCTGTCCCAATGGTTAACTACCCTCATTGGAAAAGACTTGCCCCTTAGTTCCACTTTGCTGTCTTCAGCTTCCAGCTATTGGTTGACGGGTTAAGTGAGCAAGAAGTCCAAGTTTTAGAAATTCTAAAAGAAAATGCCTTTGAGCTAAAGGAGAATCTCCAGCAGCAGTCAGCTATATAGGGCTCATGACACATAGTGCAGCAGTTGATTCCACCCAGCAGGGGCCTATGGTGTTCATACTCGCCAGTTTATTATCATATTTTGCAGTGGTATTGCCCATTTCATTTACATGGACCTCCACAAGCATCACAAACTCCACCCACCAGAACTCTGATTAGCTAAAAGCCTTAAAGGGGAAATCCCAAACTCTCTGAAAATCAGGGTTTGTGTTACATGTGGCTAGTAGCTGGGAGTGGGGAAAGGAAAGCATTTATGGCAGTCCCTAAAGGCCCCAGCTGCAATAGAGACTGTGCTGTGCAAGGTGCGGTACAAAAATGACAAGGTGGGAAACAGTGGCTGGCCTACAGAGCCAGCAATCGAAATAAAGAGGAGGAGAAATGGAGGCACGGAGAGGGTGAGTAATTTTTGCCAGTGTCCCATAAAAAGTCAGTGGCAAAGCCAGCTTGAGAACCCACAACTCCTAGGCCAATGTGCCGTCCCCTGCCCCGTGCTGCCTGCCCCACTTCACCTCCTGGCCTCTCCGAGGGACACCAGAGCTGTGCTAGGCTCATTCAGAGTTGCAGTGAGCACAAGCCAAGGTGCTGCAGGATCATTTACCAGGATGCTAACAGGAGGGGAAGGAGACACAAGGGGATGCAGGGCGCTGTCTCATGTGGCAGGGCCTTTGTGCCAGGGCAGGCTAGTCACGGCAAAGCTGGGCCCTCCTTCCAAAGCGGCTCCACCACACCCGCTAGCAAAGACAAACCCAGCTGCTGAGACCAGCCCCAACTGTCTGAAATCCTGCGCACACTTTCTGCAGGAACCAGCTCCCTGGAGACGTGAGCAGGGCGCTTTCTCCTGTGAGCTCACGCAGGCCTGGCTCATGCACCTCCCCAGGGCCGGGCCCGTGGCTCAGGCACGGCCCTCTGTGAGTCTGGGCTCTCCCAGCTGGGAAAGCCTGGGGCCAGATCCCCCTGTTTCAGGCCTCTCTGCATCCACTCGGCAACAGCTCAGCTCTGAAGTCGCTGCACAGTCCAGGCAGTTCCAGGCTGCTGCCACCAGATGTCACCCTATCCTTAGGGATGGGAACAGATGGGCTGGGGAGCAGCAGGGCACCCAAGGATCTGGCTCCTGTAAATGTCTGACAAGCTCAGGTCTGCAGCCCCCATAACACCCCTAGCCAGCATCCATAGCCCCCCCCCAACCTCCCTCTGCAGCCCCCATAACACCCCTAGCCAGCATCCATAGCCCCCCCCCAACCTCCCTCTGCAGCCCCCATAACACCCCTAGCCAGCATCCATAGCCCCCCCCCAA